CACGAAGCCGTCTTCGATGGGCTCTCGCCTTTCCTTATAGAAGAATATGGGTTATTTTCTTTGTTTCAAATCACCGGAGGAATCAAAGGAGACGAAAAAGAGCTGGAAATGTTGGAGAGGGAAACAGCCGAAAGAGGAAGAAGCGTCGAGGAAGAGAAAAAGGAGGGAATTCTGCGGTTTATGCGGTAAAGAACCATCGAAGGAATCATCAAAGTCAGAAGGAACGCCAAGGGGGAAAGGGAAATGTAGGATAAATTGTTTTTGTTCTGGTAAACCTTCGAAAGGGTCTAAAAAGAGCTGGAAATGTTGGAAGAAGAAGAAATCGTCGAAAGATGATGAGACGACAACAAGGAAGAGAAAGAGGAAGAGAATGTGTTGTTTATTTGGTGGAAGAAAGAAAGATGAAGAAACATCGAAAAAGGATGAAGAACAGTCCAAAAAGACAGCGAAATTTGGGAAATGCTGCTTTCCTCGCGGTAAATCCTCAGAGGAGGGGGGTAACCTAGAAAGAAGAAGAACATTTATGAAATGTTGCTTTCCTCGCGGTAAATCCTCAAAGGAGGAGGATAAATCTGAAAAAGGAGGAAAATCTATGAAGTGTTGCTTTCCTTGTGGTAAATCATCAAAGAAGGATGATAAACCGAAAAAAGGAGGAAAATCTATGAAGTGTTGCTCTCCTTGTGGTAAACCATCAAAGGAGGATAAATCGAAACCAGAGGAGACAAATGAAAGAAAAGGAGGGAAATGCGTAAGTTGTTGCCCTTGTTGTGAGCCATCAAAGAAGGAGAAACCGAAAGAAGACAGAGAAAAGACTAGTAAGTGTTGCGCGAAGAAAAGTTGCTTTTCTTGTCTAAAATCAAAAAATGGAAAAGATGAGAAACCTTCGAAGAAAAAAGAAAAGAGGTGCATGAATTGTTTTCGTTGTTGTAGGCCATCGAAGAAGGATGGATCAAGAGATCGCAAAGAAAAGACCAGGGCTCGTTGCTCTTGTATGAACTCACTCAAGAGCAAATGTTGCTTTTCTTGTCCAAAATCATATAAGAAGAGTACTTGTTCCTGTTCTTGCTTTTTTGGTTGCTCATGTTGTACGAGCTCACCAAAAGAGAAGAATGTAGACAAGCCAAAAGAGAAGAAGTTCTTTTGTCTGAAGAGGAAGGAGAAGGAAGACATAAATCATCTGACATGCCTTGTTAAGACTATATCCTTCAAGTCTGGTATGCTAGCTCCTCTCTTTTTTTTCTTTTTTTTTCAAATAACAACAGTTAATGTTTATATGGTTCACATTTCACATAGGGTTATTTGCACTTAAATACACCAAAGTTCACATCATTTTTAAGTTTGGTACTCCAAAACTTTTTCTGCCCGAAAGATACCCCAAACTTCAAGAACGCTTTCAATTTTGATACCATAAAATGACTTATGCGGGTATCAAAGTCTAATTTCTCTAAACTTTGGGGTATTTTAGTGCATGTAATCCTTCTTAAAAGTTTCTATTCTGACATTATTTAGAAATTCTATTTATATGCAGATACCAATAAGCGTAGATCAGAAGCTGAAGAAATTCTACGTATCAGTAATGTAAATATCACTGCAAGAGTGTTCACATATCGCGAACTGGCAGCAGCAACCAATAATTTTTCACAAGAATGTTTATTAGGCAAAGGTGGATTTGGCAAAGTTTATAAAGGAAAGCTTAAGGAAATGGACAAAGTAATACTAATTTTAGTTTTTTTCCGCAAAAACTGTCTTCTTCAAGTTTTTCATCTAATTTGCACATTTCACCTATTTACAGGTTGTAGCGGTTAAGAAACTTGACAGAAATGGGTATCAGGGTAACAGAGAGTTTCTGGTAGAAGTACTGATGCTTAGTCTCCTCAGACATAAAAATCTCGTAAATTTGCTCGGATATTGTTCTGATAGCGACGAAAAGATGCTGGTATATGATTACATGCCTCTTGGTTCACTGCAAGATCATCTTCTGGGTAAATGCAGTTCTCAAATTTATCCTTTTGCTTCTCCTCAAAGAAGACGACACTACCAAAGCCATCTTCAAACTTCAATTAATTCAGAAACCACCTTTAAATGAGGTTCAAGAATCAATCAACTGCCTTGATCTATTTTCTGACGAAGGTTCGATTGAAATCCCCAAAATGCCTTTGAAAAGACTATATTTTGCTTACAAAGGCATGTCACACGACTGGCATGTGCATTTTCAAGGGCATTTTGGGGTCAATTGAAAAATTATTAGAAAATTGGTCAAGGTGGTTGATTGCCTCCAGAACTCTCTTTAAAGGTCGTATCTGTATTAATTGAGTCTTAAAGTGGTATTTGTACAGTTACCCTATTTGAAAGGTGCTGTCTGTTTTAAAAAAAATTTAAGTGTTTTTCAATCTTTTGCAGATTTATCTCCAACTAATAAACCATTAGACTGGAACATGAGAATGAAAATAGCATTCGGCGCAGCAAAAGGACTTGAGCATTTGCATGTCATAGCCAATCCTCCTGTTATATACAGAGATCTTAAAGCATCAAATATACTACTCGATGAGGATTATAACCCGAGATTAGCTGATTTTGGCTTAGCTAAGCTCGGTCCAGTTGGAGCTCAAAAACATATATCAACGAGAGTTATGGGGACTTATGGTTATTGTGCTCCAGAGTATGCATTGACAGGTCAATTGACATTGATGTCTGATATTTACAGTTTTGGTGTTGTGCTCTTGGAGCTGATTACAGGAAGAAAGGCTATGGACTCTACAAGACCAAGGAATGAGCAAAATTTAGTCGAATGGGTATGTAGATTTATTGAGTTCCGATAATTGGAACAAAAAATAGTTAGATGGTTCATGGATTTTGGTTCAAAATTGTGAATAATAGACTTAAATTAATTTGTTTAAGAGTTTGAATGATGAAGAATGTACAAGGATACATTTGTATAGGACATAGCCACATATGGAATATAGGATCACGGGGCAGTCGAATGGACAAGTAGATGGACTAAGTTTCAAATTATAAGGGTTAATTGTGGATAGACCACCTGTACTATTGCCAAGTTGAACTTACTACCTGTTGTTGTGTTATCGCAGATGAAGTTCCTGAAAAGAGTTTCTATCCACAATTAACCCTTTTGAAAAAACAACACATTTCATGGACTTTGCTTCAACAATAACTAGAATAGACTTCAATGTGTTTAAGATTTCGCATGCATGAAGAATGAGCAAGGAGAAATTGATGTAGGACAAAGACAAAATCTTGTAATCCTTCCAAATTCTTGAATCACTCAAGAGCCTTTTTTTCCCTGATAAATGTCTTACAACCATACTGATTCGTTTATCATTGAAATGTTTCAGGCAATACCGCTCATCAAGGATAGAATGAATTTTACCCAATTGGCTGATCCATTGCTCGAAGGAAATTTCTCTGTGAAGGCTTTGTATCAAGCTCTTGCACTTGCTGCAATGTGTGTTAATGAAAAGGATATTTTTCGACCAAACATTAAAGATGTTGTTAGTGCACTGAAGTTTCTGAGCAGAGAAAATAACCAGTCAAGTTCAGAAGCACCTGAAAGTTCTGTCTCTGTGAATGAAGCTTCTAACTGTAATGATGGAGACTCCCCAAATTCATCATATAGTGATTGGCAACGTTGTTCAACAGAGAAATGAAGTTAAAGCTAGAGTTTGAAGTGATATATTAGAGTTGAGAATTTGAAGTTTCAGGTTCAGGAGCTTGGAGAGGTGGGGGAAATAAGTGAGTATTTCTCCATTTGTTGCTTTCTTGTGGGTATGTTCCAACATGAAGCAGCTTTTTAGACCTTTTTTTTCTTGTAATTAAGTATTTGCTGATTCCTGCAGAAAGAAATCAAGTATTGCAGATGGATAATGAAATTTTGAATGAAAACTGATGTGTGATGCTAGACTGAAAATTGAGTTTTTTTCGTTCGATGAAAGTCATGTTTATAACTCTCGTGAAAATATAGGTAACTTAAAAGAGGAACTCAGGAAGAGAAATCATTTATCACAAAGAGCTTACACTGTCCAAAAACATGCCAAAATAAGTTATGAACGACGAGCAAGATCAACGAAATATCTGCATGATAATATATTCATCTCATCAATTCGACAAAGATACAGGGTATCAGCATTTCCTTTATTGTACTTTTAGATTTTTATCACTCCACGAATTCATGATAAGATTTCTGCACAACAGACTAAAATCAAGAAAATTTTCAATAAAGTCCGTTTTTGTTAAAAATGATCACATACAATACACCACCCTCTTAAACATTACATTACAGGAAGTACATTCTTCTAACAAACCAAGCGAAAACTAGAAACGGGAGAAAATGAATAAAGCAGTTGCACCCCAATCATATTAGAAACTTTGCTATATTACTACTTGATGAGCTGCTGTATATTAATTTCCCAAGATGATGCTAGCTGCATTAGTATTTGATCCACAGTTGCCCCTTCCCAATCCTCAGGCAGATCGACTACAGAAACATCGTTTAAACTCAACAGAATTTCTTTCTTCACTTCCAATGGGAAGTCCAAGAAATCTGAGCCATTTTCCATTATCAATTCTGTCAACTGAAAACCAAAGTGACAAATATGGTTACAAAAATGGTGCAAAAATTCAATGCATTTGTGGTAATAGGCTATATACTTCCTCAGAAAAATTCGTGCAAGAGAACAAAGGTTATGTACTTCAATTGCACTGCTGTGAATTTTACCGTCACCGTCTCAACCTGCTCACTCTTTTGAAAATGAGGACAGAATTGATTTCAGTGAAGTCAAATCTTGAAACAGTAACTTCTAATCAGAAATATAGGCGTGAAGGATACGAACAGTTACAAGAAAGCCAACTATCTCTGCTTTCCATTGAACAAGAATCGTATTACTTTATTGTTTATTAAGCATCGTGAGCAGAACCTTGTCTTAAAATAAGCCGTGTAACCCAAGAGCCGGCAAGCATAACAAAGCATTTAAGTACTCGTCACTTGATGCATCCTCAAACAACTAAATAATTTTGCTTCGGCCGTTAAGCACTCTAGATATTATAGGTCAAGATGAATGGAGCAAATTTTCAATTTGAATCTTCTATCACTCAACTGAAAATCATTTTCGTCGAGACGTGCGTTTTTTTGGGAGCAAAATAGGAAACTACGAAATTAAAAGGCGTATTTCAGGCTAAGTTAGAAAACATGAGAGGTCTCATTGTTACTCTTGGACCAACAATTTGTTTCTTTATATGAGTTACCAAACATACTCGAAAGATAAAAAATACTACCTGATTGTCTCCAGACTTAAGACTCCTAGAACTCCAAAATAATAAACATTAACTATGGTTATATCGCTGTGATTTCCCTTGCTCAGTTCCTCCTAAATGTCATTCAATCTTATTCATTTAACAGCCTTTTAGCCATACCTTTTTCTACATAGGGGCAGAGTGAGGGAGAACAAAGAATGAGATAGAACTATACAAGGCATCATTAAACCAAAAAACTTGCAAAGATGATACTATAGATTAGCAGTTAACAGATGAAACAAGCGTAATTTTGAAGGCATACCTGCTGGATCCAAGTCAGAGCTATATCAAACAAACTTTGTTCTAACAAAAACTGCCCAACTGCATGCAAGACTTCACTCGCTACCTCACTCGAAAGCTGATCCACAACCGGGCCTGATCTTTCCATCAGTTTCACAAGCAAGACATCATCCCCAGAAGACAAAACCTCCGCATATGCCGAATCCACATCACCAACATGAAGTGAATCCATTGCTCGTGTCCATGACGCCCAAAGTGGGCCCCTATCCTGACCCAGATTATCCTCAGTCAAAGCCTCAGCATCTAATTCTGGAACCCTAGTTGTAGTTCGCGAGGTTCCATTATCTTCACCAGCCACCCTTATAGCTTCCAAAGTTGCCTCATCTTTTGATGCTTGCCAAACACTTCGAGCTGAAGGACCCTCGCCGAGTCTAAATGGCCCTTGCCCTTTATCCCAAGCTCTTCTGCTGTCTGGTTGATCACCTTCATGTTCAGTTATTGGTGATCTTGCATCGATTGAAGCAGAAGGTAAGCCTCTCCTCGAAGCCATATGGCCATTTCTTGAGTAACCATAAGTGTCCCACGATTCAAACTCTGACCTCCAAGACGGATCTCTTCCTCTTACACCAGAAGATATGTTATCAGATGAGAGAAATCTCTCTGCAAAAGGCATACGACCATTATACTTTGAACTAGAATAGTCGTGGAGACCGTTGTACTTGCTTGAATTCCTCCCAGGGGAACCTTCGTATCCAAGCATCATATTATGGCTTCTTCTGCTGGATGATAATGACAAATCCCGTGCCATTTCCTCAACAACTCTCTCGAGCCCACGCACCCTGTTTTCTAGAGTTATCATGCTGTCATGAGAGCCACCCATGAAATCCTGATATTTACAAAATAAGAATCATCACTATTGCACGTTTTAATGCAAACTCTCCAAAAGATTGTGATGAGACAAGCATACAATATACATGCTTATTTTCTAAACTTGTCCTATAGTTTTGGAAGATACTTAGCACATGAAGGACTTGAACCTTTCTGGACTAAAAAGCAGTGAAGAATTAATTACCCTGATGGATGGATGTTGTACTGTGTTGATTACCAAGTCTAGAAATGAATAAAAGGACAATAGTACAGGGGTCTATGTTAAATAAATCCTTTTTTAAAAGAAAAGATCTCGCAAAACAACACCTCTCAGAGAAGTCCCTTTGTGATTTGTAGAAAAGAACATAGGAAATACTTGAAAATTACTACTTACATACTTGAAATGAAAATACTTAAGAGTGAAAAAAACAGTCTAATATAGTAAAAAGGAGATGCATGTGAAAACGCCTACCTGTTTATAGATTTATCATAAGCTTATTATACATAAACATGTAGGAAACATCTGTACAAACAAGTGTGAGATCCTACTGGAAATGCAGGCACAAAAAGCACACGTTAATCAAGAATGATCCATGAAATTCAAAAACAAATCAAAATGTCATTCTTGAGAATTGCTACACAAAAAATACATAAAGAACTCGAATAATAGATTTATTACAATGAACAAATTCTCGTGATAAGCACCTCTAGAAGAACTTGTAATGCACCTAAAAGATTATTCACAAATATATCTAACTTGAACCTCTAAATTATCATCAATCATTATTCAGAGCATTCCAACAGTAAGATTGTGTTAAATTGTGTTAACTTAAAAACTGTAGAATGAATACAGCATACATTATATTTTCAAGATGAAGCAATGCTTTGTGCACCACTTAGAAAGGAAGCAAAGAAATTGAAAACAACAATAGTGTTATTGACAAACCTGCAACATGTTCATGAGATTGGCCTGTTGTCTCTCTAACTGTGACAATTGCCTCTGAATGACCAGCCAGTTTCCCTTGCCATTCATGAAGGAGGCATCATTGTTGCCATCAGCCCTCGAAAAGCTCGTACGGATGCCAGAGGGATCTCTCTGACTCGGTTCAGCTCTATCATCAACATCAGAAGACCTCAATTTTAAGTCTTTAGCCCTGAAGCTTCTTTGTTCAGTCCACTTATCCCTAGCAAATTCATCCGAATCAGGCAGTTTATTGTATGCCCCTGGTCTTTTCTCAGTATTGAAAAAATTGATGTTCTTGCGTGCTTGAGATTCATTTGAATCACCGGCTAAAGTCTCATTATTGCTCGATGGAGCCACTGAATCATCGGCAGTCAAATCTTGTTCTTCACCCTCTGACGACTTAACACACCTACGAGGTACCACAACTTCTACAGGTAATTCATCCTTGCCCCTTGTTTCCAGCTTCTGGAAGAATTCCGGATTCAACTCTTTGTCAGTCAAAGAGGGTACTTTTTTCTTTAATAAGGCAGCAGCTTTCTCGGGTACATTGCTGCCTTTTTCTTTTGAGATAGAATCTGTGCCAGTAGGGGAAGTGCCAGCAGATGAATCTTTCACAGATTCCGATCTTCTACGACTAGGAGTTGACTTTTTATTATCAGCCTTCTCTTCAGTATCAATTGGTTCGGAATTTTTATTCCCTGCAACATATCATTTGAGCCAACATTAATGCTTGAGCAAAAGTACATGAGAAATAATATATACAGGACAGACCTTTAGGATTCTCTGCTGTATCATCTCCCCCTCTTCCTGAAATTTTCTTCCATAGCTGCAACGCTTCCATCATGCTGTCTCTCACAGGTTTCACCTAACGAGAAATTTCTTATTTGAAATATTGCTTTAACTTGATGATCACTGAGCAGGGTAACCCGTATTAAGCAAAACGAAAGCAAGTTAAGTCTGCTTTACAATCAACATGCCAAATTTTCTTTCTCTAATGCAAGAAGTAAATGTCACTAACAAAGATAACAGACATAAGCTACAGCCACAGTGTAAATACGGACTAAATCAAAGAAGAAAAAAACACAAATCCGCATGAACACAATTCCTTTAATGCGTGAAATTTGCTTATTTTATTGCATAATCTATAAATGGCTCAGGAAACTCATGGTAAGAGACCGGTGCAAAGATTTTAATCTAAAATTGCTGCTGAGAGCAGACCAGAAGGTCAAATAATCAGAAGTCAAACTTCTTTAAGACCTTACCCTTGAATCAAGTTGCAAACTAACTAATTTGATCTAAGATATACCGAATTATAAGCATGAATATCTCATCCCCAGCTATTCAGAACCAGCCTGGTGTATACTACTTTCTCAAGGACATCTGTCGAATTATGATTTTATCGATTAGAAGTACATTTCGTTTTATTTTCATGTTGTGCATACATCTGTCGGCATTATTCATTCTCTATTCCTATGTCCCAGCACCAACAATTAATTGTGAATGTGAATCAGTTACAGAACTTGATAAATATATGATCTGTAGTTATTTTTCTCAATGAATTGACATGTTTGTTCTTGAAAGAAAGAAAGTCCACATAGTTACCTTATCAAACCGACTAGCCTCTAAAGCAGCTATTGTTGAAGCAGACCCATCGGCGACCAACTCACTTGAATTAGATGCCAATGCACTCAATGTATCAGCTGCTGCTTTACGGGTGGCCCAGTCACTGTTGTCAAGACATTCACGTATACATTGTAGTACTGCTGGCATATGCTGAGGGGTGATCGCTCCTACCTATAATAGAATCAAAAGGCAGGTGTACTTTTAGCTATCAACTACAAGATAAATATTGTAGGAGTAGAATTAAGCATCTTACAATGTCATAGATCTCACTTACATGATATTGCATCTACTCAAGCATCCTATCCTACGGCTAACTCCCGCATTAACTAATCATTCCCAAGTTAAACATATTTCTGATGATATGTTAGAGAACTAGGAGGAACTCGTCACTAAAGAGGGTAATGAGAGGAAGGGAACCTAGATCTATACAAGCCCAAACCAAGCGATACATACATAGTCAAGATGGGGGTAAATCCATCCTGATATACCATAACGCTTCTACAGTTTCAGTACATACACAGGTTGGCTTTGCACTAGCGATTGAACATCCCCAATGCTGACGTCACCACTCTGGTCAGGCCCCAATGCCACAATACCAGCCTCACTTCGCACATTATACGATTGCAACCGCAAGCATGAGAAAATCTTTCATACTATTTGTTAGATACTTCGCAGAGCTTATTCTCAAAATCTAGTTGCAAGAGGTCCGCAACCCAAATATCTGTAAACTCGCACCAAACTATCCACATTGTCAATATGAGAGACTAAATGCATCCAAGTAAGAAACACTTATTTCACACTCTCCCACTACCACCATTTTTGTTGCATTCTTCTCACCAATTTTCCTATTGCAAACTAGTAAATACCACTTAGCAATAACTCAACACCATCCAACGCTACATCAAACACAGAGAATAAGCTACACGTAACACGTTATACTACAAATTCAAAAAAAAAAAAGGCAAACTCCCTCACCTGCGAGAGGCTCGAGAACACCGAGAGCATCGCCCCCTTGGCAACCACCCCCTGGCCCGCCAACGAGCTTACAAATCCTCGGGCACTACCTGTGAAACACATCGCCAGCCGCCAGCCGCCGCATCCCCGGACGCGCTCCACGACCCTCCCCAGAGACACCCAGCGGCGACCGCCACCTGCCCACGTTCTACTCTGCTCCCCACACCTCGAGCAGCGCCGCAAAAGAGCCCCACCACGGGCGGCCCCTTCCCTCCTCCCCCCTTTGAGGGTAGACCCCCGCGAGCGGACCCGACGCTATATCCCTGCAAGCCGTCCCTGGAGAGACGTCGTCAAGGATGGTCCCTTTAGCTCTACTGACAACAATGTGGGCCACTGTATTTGGCAGGTGGGCCGAGACGGGGTCGGGGTGGGGAGGGCGGCGAGGAGGGAATGAGGCCGGAGGTGTGTCGCGGTGGAGGAGGGGTCGTGGTGAGGGAGTTGGCGAGCATGGGACGCCGTCGAGGGGGAGGGAGGAGATGAATGGACTCGAGTCCTCGACGGCGACCGCGGTGGGTGTCGCGGTCGGAGAGCTTGGAGGAGGGAGGTCAGGAATGCGGGATTGAGGCTCCACCCATGGCGAGGTGGAGGAGAGGGGAGGAGAGACGGAGAGGAGGAGGAGGGGGGTTTCGGGTCGGATTCGCGAGGGTTTCGTGGTTTTGGGGTTCGAGTTGACCATCGGAGGGGGAAGGAAGGAGGATCTTGGGTCGCGGGGCGACCGCGATGACTCGTGTTGGTGGGAGGAGAAGAACGAAAAGTGGTCGAGACCTGAGGAGGGCTTTTTTATCCTTTTCTTATTTTTCAATTTACCCTTTTTTTTTTTTTTTGAGACTTTGGGAGAGGGTTTTTCCGTTTTTTGAAGTGGGAGTAGCGAAAGGGTAAAAAGATTCAAAAAATAAAAAATAAAAAAAGGGGAGAAAATAGGCTTAATTGCGCTTAAATACCCTATACTTTCGCCTACTTCGCATTTGTACACTCTCCACTCTCCAGCCGTCTTTTCCAGCGTTAAGGCACCCTAAAGTTTTTAAAACTTGTGCACTTAAATATCCCTAATGAGCGAACTTGAAGGTAGTTAAGTGCAAGCGTTAAAAACTTGTGGTTATTTAAATGGCAGCTTTATAAACTTTAGGATATAATGTGTGAGTTTAAAAGCTTTAGGGTATATACATACTAGTTTGCGGTCCGTGTAAAGCACGGGTTTTTTTTTTTTCTACAGTAATCCCGCTTTTTTTAATATACATGATTTGAATTTTTGGAATTGCTACAGTATCCCGCTCTGCTACAGTACCTTTTAAATGTTGCAGTGTACCCGTGTGCTACAGTAATATTTTTAATTAAATATTAGCTACAGTAAATGCTACTGTATCATTTACTATAGCATGAACAGTAAATCTCTGATCCTCCTATTTGTATAAAGGAATAGATAAGTGCTACCAAAAATAAGCGAGGGTATATAAATGCAACCTATGGGAAACTATAGGGGTTTAAGTGTAAATATGGAGTCCGATGTTATGGGAATCAGTGTAAACAAAATGGATAGATTGGAAAAGTCGAGCTATCAATTAAGGGGGGGAAGGTTTAAAAACATAAATAAATAATAAGAATGCAGATTTATTGAAATATTGGATGTCTAAATATTTTTCTAACTCTTTTCTCAATTCATCTTGCATATCATATCATATCATATACTCTCTTTAAAAGTATGAGTTAGTAAAAACTTTTTTATGGTCAATATTATCATTCACTATTTTGAATATTTTATTTAAATCTTAATCTATCCTAATCATAATTATATCCTATCCTGATCACATATGAATTACCTACAGCTTACTTAAAAAAATAAGATTAATAAGATATATGAAACAGCTTCACTGTATTAGTTTGTTAATGTAAAGAACTAACTGTAGGCTGTCTAAAAATCACAACAGATAGTTGATTCCCATCAAACACCGATGACGGAAGTTACAATCTGACGACTTTCATAAGGCTACAACTTGAGGACTTTCACGTAGATCGCTGAAGGTTACAATCTGACGACCTTCACGACAACTGATGAAAGTTTTAATTCAACAGCCTTCATAATCAAACCGTAAGGAATCTGATGACTCTCATATTTTTAAGGAGCCAAGACGAAGGTTACAAGGTGACGATCTTTGCAACGCTCTAGCAAAAGAGACTACAAATTGACGGTCTCTTCACATTAAAACGCATATATCTCTCAAACCGTAAGGAATTTGGCGAAACAGAGGAAGCGAACCGAAGCCTTTGGCTGGGTTCGGATGGCTCCGTCTCGTCGAGATAGCCGATTTTTATATATAATTCGTCCAATTCCGACTTACGGTTTAAAAGTTATGACATGTTCTTCGCAACAAGTTATGTTCTGAAGTCCGTCTGTGAGACTGGACTTCGTCAGAACATCGGACTTAGCCTAAAGCTCACCGAGCCCACCTAAGGCTCACCTTTGCATCCAAGATTCAAAACGCAGAGGTCGTGCCCGCGTTCTAAACTCAAAACGCAGAGGTCGTGGCTGCGTTCCAGATCCAAAACTCAGAGGTCGTGACTGCGTTCCAAACTCAAAACGCAGAGGTCGGGGCTGCGTTCCAAACTCGAAACGCAGAGGTCGGGGCTGCGTTCCAAACTCGAAACGCAGAGGTCGTGGCTATATTCCAGAGCCAAAACGCAGAGTTCATCTCTGTGCGTCTCAGGTCCAAAACGCAAAGTTCATCTCTGTGTTCCAACTCTGCGTCCCAACTGTGCGTCTCAGGTCCAAAACGCAGAGTTCATCTCTGTGTTCCAACTCTGCGTCTCAGGTCCAAAACGCAGAGTTCATCTCTGCGTCCCAACTCTGCGTTTCAGATTTACAACGCATCGCGGCCTGTGCGTTCAGCCACCCAAAATAGGCCCAACTCTGCGTTTTTAGTCTAAAAATGCAGAGTTCGGGTCTAGAACGCCATTTTCGGCGTTTGACTCGTTCAAACACGAACCGAACAGTTCCAGGAACCGTTTTCCCCCATGATTTGAGGGATTTCCGCCCCACTTAGGAGCAGATTAAGGGGGTAGTTATTGTTTGCGTCAAAAGTTAGTTTTGTCATGGAATTCATTATATCTTCAGTCGATTACAATAAATTCAAAAGAAATAGCCTTTTTATAAGACTTCTTTTACACAACAAAATAAAAATTACAACTCTTAGGAAACAAACGCAGGATCGTTGTTTGGATCACTGCTTGCGTGGGATCTTTACCTGTGCCGGGGGTGCGTTAGCCCGTGGACCACCAAATCACAGATTCTGATCGAATCGTGAGGGGTTTATGATTCTGACTTCGTTTATCGAAGTGAGAACTTGAAACGATATCTTATCAAGGTAAGATAGTCGTTCTTCTTGAAATCAAGTCAAAGCCTGAATATCAAGGAGTTGCCAGAAACTCAAGAACTCTGCTCTTTCTCTGCTCTGAAGTGCTCAAAATGATCAGCCCCTCTCAAAAATGGCCTTCGGGGGGTATTTATAGCCCCTATGAACAGTTGGCGGAAAACAGGCTCGCGAGACAGCATTTGCTGTCTCGGCTGTCGAGACAGTGTTTGCTGTCTCGGCGGGCGAGACAGTGTTTGCTGTCTCGGCCCGCGAGACAGTAAACGTTGTCTCGGAAATAGTAACTGTCAGGCAGTTTTTGTTTTAACTGCCTTCCCACATTTCAAACTCCGTTATTTTGGCAGTTATCCACGCGATTCTCGCCCACGACGTTCCCCATGCGGAGAGACAGTAAACACTGTCTCGCGCGGAGAGACAGTAAAGACTGTCTCGCGCGGAGAGACAGTAAAGTCTGTCTCGCGTGCGAGACAGTAAAGACTGTCTTTTTTTCTTTGATTTTTCGATGATCTCCTCTTGAGCTGTATTTGGATATCTATTAGCATTTTTTGACGCCTACAAATACCCCCTCCAAAGTGTTCCAGACTTATTCTTTTATAGAGGAGTCTGGGACATTTTGGATAAGACAGATCTTATTTGCAATCCTTTCAATACTTGATTGAGTAGATCGTGTAGAAAAATGGCTCCAGCCCTTGATCTCTTCATCCATTAGTCTATTCAGTTCTTTGTAGAATAGCTAATGCTTCTCCGGCCCTGCGTTTATCGCTTGGCCGTTGTTGAGACCTTGAATCGAAGCTGGTATTTCCAGATTGATGTTTGTATGTCCATTGAGAGTTTGTCAGGTTATCCTTAAGAATATTCAGATTAATATCCTCCAGAAACTGCTTGTCGAGTGTAGGAAACAGTTTAGACTCGTGTACCTATTGGAGTAGTATGGTTTCTTTTTTTTTGGTAGAGATGAACCCGTTGATGGAGAGGAAGAATTTTATATTCTATCTCCTGGTCTCTTTTTTGTTGGTAAAGATGAACCCGATGATGGAGAGAAAGAATTTTATATTCTATCTCTTGGTCTCTTTTTTGTTGGTAGAGATGAACCCGATAATGGAGAGGAAGAATTTTATATTCTATCTCCTGATCTCTTTTTTTGTTGGTAGAGATGAACCCGATGATGGAGAGGAAGAATTTTATATTCTATCTCCAGGTGCAAAGGAAACTCAAAGTGGGATCTCCACTTAGAGAATCTGGACGGGTTTGAATAATCCTAACTGTCATAAGGTTTGATTATTCAACTGAAAGTGGACCTCTCGTTCATGGAAGGAATCGAAAGGGGATTTTGGTTTTGGTCCTAACTGTAGTAAGGTTTGACCAAGTGGGAGTTCGGAGACGATCCTAACTGTTTAAAGGTTTGATCGTGGGAATTGGAGACGATCCTAACTGTTTAAAGGTTTGATCGTTCAATTTGTGGACCTTTCGTTCATGGAAGGAATCGAAAGGGGATTTTGGTTTTGGTCCTAACTGTTTAAAGATTTAACCAAAAGGGAATTCGAGACGATCCTAACTGTTTAAAGGTTTGATCGTTCAATTTGTGGACCTCTCGTTCATGGAACGAATCGAGAGGGGATTTTGGCTTTGGTCCTAACTGTTTAAAGGTTTGACCAAATGGACAGTTGAGACGATCCTAACTGTTTAAAGGTTTGATCGTTCAA